GTTTTATGTGAGGATGTTCTTATGGACTAATAATTAAATTTGTGTTCTTTTCATGAGTGCTGATTGGTTGATTTAGCCCTAAATGAAGTCTGTTTGGCGCTTGCGCCAGAAAATAGCTTCTAAAAACTCCGCATCGGCTACATTTTATGGCAGATCACAGAGTCCGACCAGAATATTGCACCAGCTAGCTGCTTACAGCCGCTATTTCTTGTTTATCTTATTCTCTAAGGGCTCTACATAAACAGAGAAGGTAGCTAACATAGCAGAAAATGAATTATTTAGCAGCAGTTAAGACCTAATTGGCGATACACCTATCTGGGCTCCATGATGTTTTGTCTGGGCAGCTGTGTACACAGTCCTGTGACGTGGGGACAATGGACGACTCGCTGGCTTTATTTGCCGGCAAATTTATTACCCGGCCCGAGGCGCTGCCGCCGGGAGGGAGGCGATCGGACAATCATCCACATACATCAATCTCGGCTGCACATCGCACAGAAACATGCCAATATACGGCCGTCCTACTGGTACAGTAGACCGATACAACTGTGCTGGCGCAGCTGGCAAGATATGCGGGATTCAGGAGCAAATTATATGATAAACATGCTTCGAATTCGGTTATGATTGGTATGCGCTTCGCCATTTTGCTACGTTGCGAAATGTAGTGTACTTTTTGATGTGGTTCAAATGATGATCACCCAAATCCCTAATCATCTATCATTGGATCTCCCCTCCAGTATAAAGCGCAGCAGACCCTGAGCTGAGCCGAGCCGGTCGCTGCATCCCCAACGGGCAACAAGTCAGCTGCGTGGGAGGGGCCGGGGGCGGGGAGGGAGGGGGGAGGGGGGCGGACGATGATGGAACGGGAGGCTATTGACCCGGCCCCGACCGACCGACTCGCCTCAGGCAATGTCAGCGGGCGCCTCGGCGCTATCGCGTGGAGCCATACCGGCGCTATCGACGACGCACATCAATAGAACTGATTGTCTGTGAAGAGTTGCCGCAGGCAAGGGGAGGAGCGCTACAGGTCTGTTGCGTATATGCGAGTACGGTAATGGGAAGATGAAAAGAGCCGCGTATTCCCATAGTGCGATGCCGATTGAGCACTGACTATGTACACATGGATATAACATCACAACCTAATTCATCATGACGTCATGGTCCATAGTGCCTTTAAAATGTATAATTAAAAAAAAATGTTAAGCAGAAAATAATATGAGGTGCGACTGCATCCATCAAAATTCAGCAACCACGTTCGGCAAAAAAATATGTATAAATTTGTTTTGAATTATTTAGATCAGCAGACTGACGTGGCCAAGGTCTTGATTGCATCGTTAAATTGGATTAATTACCAACTTCATCTTCCGTGTTCTGTGCATGACCGAAAGTTCTGGGCTCATTTAATCATTTAAGTATGGGTTACATGTCATTTCTCGTTCTGAGTGCAGAACACTATGCTACGGCATAATTAACTAGATTTTCCTATTGCGAATGCCTGAATGAGTGCACTTCCTGTAGCACGACCTTTCCTTCATCTAAACTTGTTGCGCATACTTAGGCTTCAAGTATTTGATCTCGTGATTCCAGCTCATTGACGTAATTTTGCTACCAAAGTTTGACGTGCTTAGTTCCGACTATGGCCCATCCGGCTCGGTCCCGGAAGCACGAACAGGGAGCGGCAGGCCGAGGGGAGGGAGGGGGCAGACTGAGGGAAGGGGAGGGGCGGGGCAGGCACAGGTGGTCCCTGCTGCCGGTATCGACGGGAGACACCTGGATCTAACGAGGCCCGCACAGGGGCGCTGAGAGGGGAGCGAGGCGGCGTCTCGTGCGTCGGGACACAGGTGGTCGAGTCGGCATCAGAGTCGCGCAAACGGCCCGCACTCAGAGGCCGCCCCGTGCCCTGGGGACGCGGCCACAATGAGGGGTGAGCGACTGTTCTGGTCTGCCGTGGGATACGCACACGCCTCGACTTGGCTCGGTATCAGTCGCTAGATCTCGGCTTCTCGTTTCTGGCCCGATAGGGACCCCTACAGCCTGCATAAGATGTGTACGAGTAGATTTCGTTTCTTGATCGTCCTGAGTTACATGTGTTCGCTAAATGTCTTGCTTTGGTCCTCAACCGTCATATGACCTCTTCGTCGATTCAGCACCAAATCCAGCGATGCCCAGTATTTACCTGCCAATATCTTCATATACCCAACCCAGTGTGTGCATTGCATGTACCGGTTTTCAATCAGAAGTGAGTTCTCGAACGGCAGCGGCACAATGGTACCGTCTGCGTTTGCGGTAGCGCGTCCAAATCAGACACATCACGGGAGCGCGGCGGGAAGGAGGCATCGTTCCAATTACTGAGCCCTGAATGCGGCCAATACATCATCACTGGCGTCGTGGTGCGGAGTTTGCCTGTCAGTGAGGATGTATCGGCCGGCAGGTCTGCCCTGACGTCCCAATTGGTGAGCGCCAAAGGAAATTCCGATCGGTTTTCGGCATTGCTCGAGATATACCTATGCATTAACGAGCCTCGTGCACGTTGTACAATGTAGCTGTGCTGAAGTCTAAATTCATGTGGCTTTGAATGGGTATTTTTATATTACTGAGGCTCAGCAAGACAAATTTGGAGCTTTTTTGCCAGACATTTCATTGATTTTCTACCTTATCAGGAAACATTAACAGTTGGAGTGTGGATTTTGACTTGAAGCCAAGCTTTTTTAGCATTTTGTCCCCAGACATTCGGGTTTGCTGTGTATGCAATATGCATATAATGGTGGATATTTTTCTCGCAATCAAGGCAGATCCGTAAGATCTGAATGGCCTCGTCTGTTACTTTTTGAAGAGCGATATGCAATAGCAGAGTGTGAGAGCAATGAAACGAATGTTTTGAAGCTTGTCAAATGCCATGACAGGTATTTATCAAATGTTTTTTTTTGTGGGTTTGCCAACACGAAGACCCCTTGCGAAGACCAATTTGCTACTTCAGCCTGAACTTTGCAAGCTAGTCCATTCGGCTGAACCGTGCACACCCAGTCAGTCACACTTTTCGCTGCACCGTTCCAAGCTTCACTTCATTGTGTCGAGCCACTCAAGTGAAATGCTAATTCGCCTTGGCAGTCACGCGTCGCTCCGACGTTACATTCACGGGCTGCACTGCCGCCTGGTTGCCAGTGCACCTGAATCGATTTCTGCGGTCATGGCCAGCCTCATGTCGCTGCAATGTACCACCCAATACAGGGGACGGTGGCAAATTGTCCGTGATGCCTACCCGGGAATCGGTGCCGGCCACACCGCCACGGCGGCCACCGGCGGACATCCTAGCCCACTTAGTCTCCATTCATGCATACATTTCTCAACGGTTCATCACTCAACATGAATGATTCAGGAATGCCGGCGTCGTTTGTCGATGGGGCGGGCAGCGCAGACTAGCTGTCAGTGTAAATGGAGAGGCCCACCGCCGCTACATCGCGCTTAGCGCTGAAACTGGACCTGGTTTTGATTAACTAAATGATTAATTTGACATCATCAATTGCTTTCATTTTGTCTTTCATTTGCCATTGGATTTATCAGCAGCCTCAAACAACATTTCACACTTAATTAAGCACGTCGATTAAAACCGATGACGTCATTTAACCGATATGAGCGATAATTCCGCTCGCCGCGATGTCATGATGCCGCCCATGACGCCGCTGACGGTGTGCCGTCCGATGACGCCCCGTATCCTGCGGGATACGGCACCAGCACGGGTCCCCAGATGACCAGCTTACTCCGGAAATCCGCCTATCTCTATGACCCGAGGTCGGTCGGCCGGCGCGATGAGGAGCCGATTCTCCGCGGACCGGCGTCCGGCCGCCACGATCACCTCCACGATCACGTCATTATGACGTCATAAAGTTTCCACGATCAACTGCAGAGACGCTCAGGCGATCCGCTGAATGGGCACTCGCTAGCCCGATGCGAGTTCCCTTTGGCCGCGCGCCTGCGCAAAACAGAAGTCATAGAACAAAAACGGTTTGTTTATCGCCCAAGTCCTGTACGTGTACAAGTCACAGTGGAGTGAGACCCGACACCGCTTGCGTAGCATCATTGGTGACGTTTATGGCTCGACAAATGACCAGACGTCGACACCGAACTGATCAGTCGCTGACGGACACATTAAAAGGACAGTCGCTGACTGCATCGGCCGGTTTTGCGAAGTGGTTTGTCGGCCAGTGTAGAGAGGTGTGGCAGTCTCTAGTTGTCATGGTAAGGCGCCAAAGACACTTGACAGGACGGCGGTGCTGGATGCTGGTGCTGGGGAGCTGGCGTAGTCATGCTGGTGCTAGGTCGCTGGTGCTGGGACGCTGCTGCAAGGACTGGTGCTGGGCGTCATGCGCTGCGCTGGAGCCCCATTCAATAGACTTCCCCGATTGGGCAATGCATGTTTGATGCGACATTACCTGCGCATGACAGCCACTTTGAGTCGTGTTCATTTTTGAGAGGTCACGCACGCAAGCGCCGGCGTCAGGTAATCAGCCGCTAAATTTTTACCGTATGTCGGGTATATCTTTTGATATCAGCTGAAGAGTGAATTAATGGTATTATTTTGATTTTGTGTAAATGGTTAAAATGGCCATAAGCAGAAGGAGACAGTGCACTACTCACACCGGTGTACCGAGGAATGTTTTTGCATGATTTACTTTTGTAACAGCGTTCCACCTGTTATTTGTTCAAATCACCGACACTTTGTTTCAGTCACTCAGGTGACATATTGTGGTATACAGTATACACGTTAGCGCCGTATTTCTGTCGGTTCCTGTTGGTTTTGTAAGCTCAGTGTTTCGTTTAAGACCGATTGATATCCGCCAGGCTCGATGAGTGTGATATCATTCGATATCAAAGGGTGGGCCAGAGGCCTGCACAAATGTCAGTTCACAGTTGCACATTTGAAACGCCCCTTCCAATGTTTTCCCTTATCGACCAGGCTTTCCATATTGATCGGGCACCTTATTAACACTAGTTTTTCTTTGCAGGAAGTCTAGACAAAGTTGCTGCTGCTCTTCATCCCAAAGTGAAGTTTATCCGGCCAGTAATTAAGGTGAGCCTCATTAGCAATCTTGGAGATCGAGGAGGAGCCAAAGCCTTTCATGACGCGTGTCTTATACTGGTTCTGCGGCGGTGATGATCGTTTTACTGGCGCTCATCCCAAATCAGTGAAAGTGTCATGAATGAGTATCATAGGTACTGATTGCTACATGTCCAATAGTCACGAGTTAACCCGCGCACCGCTGGGCTATTCAGCCATACGCGCCCTGCTTGGGGGGGGGGGGGGGCTGATTCTGCCCCCCCCCTGTCTAACTTCCGAACCGATGGTCGTAGAAAGACGGGGAAAACGGCAATCGAAAGCTATCAACAAGGCGGATCTTAAGAGCCCATTTTTTTTGCTTAAGTAGGTCAGAGGTCAGGTCAAGGTCAGGCCAAGGGTACAAAATGCAAGTTTCTACAGTATCGGCCTTGCACCGTAGTTGCCGAAGAATGGACTGAGACTGATTGCCCAAAACGTGTTCTTAGACTACCAAAACAATATTCGTGCATACAATGTCATTCAAAGGTCAAGGTCAAGGTCAGGTCAGGCAGGTCAGGCCAGGTCACCAAAAACAAAATATAGAAAAGGGCATGTGCGACACATGTTTTATGGGTCATTTTACTCATAGAATTCAATAGGCACACTCAATAAGTGATATGGACTACCTCTGGATGAATTTCAGGTCGAGGTCAGGTCAAGGTCAGGTCAAGTGAGGTCAAATTTTGAAGTTGGTTGTTAAGGCCTAAAAAGGTGTCTATCTGATGCAGTTTTTCACGGCGAATCGAATGTTGCTATTTTTGTTTCCGTGCGAGTTCTAGAACTTCCAAAAAATATTTTTAAAAGAATTTGTGTGTCGTGACGTCATAAAATTTTGAATAACTTCCGCATTTTTGAACGGATTCTTCTAAAAATTGGTATGTAGGTGCACATAGACCACTTCTCTGACCTATATTCCGGTTTTTTGGATAAACTCAAAATTTTGGATTTTATAATAATTTTCCCAAAAAAGTCAGTTTTTTTTTAAATTGGGCCAAAATCCAAAATTTTCAAAAACCGAGATTGCCATTTGATAGACAAAGTAGAATCACGTATAACCTTTTTGTTACGTCTTTATTCCTTCAAAACTAAAGATTTAGCGGCGTTTGAAATTTTGCCGTTTTTGAGGCGAAAATGGCGAACATGACGTCATTAAAACGTCAATTTCTCAAAAATTTCCGACGGATTTCGCTCAAATTTTCAGGGAACGTGTCAAATTGATGTATGATAAGGTACTGAAAGTTTGACGTTGCTGGCATAACGCGTTTAGAAGTTATTGGCGAAAAACGGGAGGGGGGCAGATACTCCTCCCCCCAGCGGGGCGCGGGTTAACACTTCGTTTTTTTTTTGACATTGTGGTATAGGTAGAACCTATACCACAATGCAGTATGCGGGGTATCTAATAGGTACCCCGCATACTGCATAGTGCATACCGCACAATACACATATCACATTGTATGTGAATTTAGCATCTAACGGCAATAATGTAGTAACACAAGTCTTCATAGCAGCAGCCCAAAGTCGATTTGCCATTACTGCTAAGCGATACAACGTTTACCGAATATATTATACAACCGGATAAACGACACGACTGGGGTTAGGTGCTGCCTCTCATAACCATGAATTTCATATTTCGCCTGCTGTACTCGGATTCGATCTCATCATATATTGCCTGGACTAGGCGTTAACGTCACGCAAATAGACCTTACCTTTAAAAGATGTGATCGCGGTCTGGTAGGAGCCAGTGCCAATATTTTGCCGTGAGCAGGTTGACCTTCAGGCTCAGCCAATGCCCGTTATAGAGGTCAACTGACGTCACCGACGGGATCATGTCCTAAATTTAGAGACTTCACTTTACGTACTTGGTTATGTGTAGGAAGGGGAAATGCATCATATTTTACAGTAACGATCCGCCATAAAACCATTATGCAAGCAAACTTATGCATAAGTATCCCCGACAATTTGCAAAAGTACCAGTTCCTGTTGCCTTTGTTGTCTTCCGATGAAGTATTTTTGAAGCAATAATCCATTTTCGGACATCATTTGTACTATGTTAACATAGCACGATTTTACTCAAGTTCTGTGCAGTTTAATTATAGATAACACCACCCATGGCCCTTGCCATATCAATATTCCGGCGCTCCACCAACTTTAGTAACAGGATGGGCGGACTTGGCTAAACCAGCTCAGCACCCAGAGCTTCATAGAGTGTCTCTTCGCGGTTCGGAGCGGCGACCCCGGATCTCTTTACGAGCTCTGAAAATTGATGACGCTAATTTGCAGTCGTCTTTCGGCGACGTGCTCCCATGGGGAGTATATGCGCGACTGTTCTGGGGAACTGTTGCTCCTCTTCCGGCGACCCTGGTAACAGGCGCCTTCATGACACTGGTGGGTCGGTGGGTGGTCCCTAGACCGTGTGTTAGACGCATGGAAATAGAGGCTATAACCACCAGAGATGGGATTAGTTAGAGTAGCCTGCGGTAATCCCAGATATAGAGCCAAGAAAGCTACCAGTGGCTTCGGCTAGCAGTAGTTGTCCGAACCGAACAGTATCGAATGAAAACAGATGAAATTCCTGGTTTGATTGGATATTGTATGTGTTGGGTAAATTTTTGTAATAAGATATCACGTGATTTAAATTTAATAAATAATCAACTCAAACCATTATACAATATATTATGGCATGATCACTCCCTTTTTGTCTCTGCACGTATTCCTCTCTCCCCTCTCTCTCTCTCTCTCTCTCTCTCTCTCTCTCTCTCTCTCTCTCTCTCTCTCTCTCTCTCTCTCTCTCTCTCTCTCTCTCTCTCTCTCGTGTCAGCTCATGGCTCTGCCGTCCCATTTCCTCTCCATATTCTCTCAGTACGCCAGCTCCTGAAGCGGGCGCCATGTTCGATCGCAATGTAATACCGCCAGACCTCGCGCGAATATGGCCGGCAGTATTTCCGAATTCCTTTGAGCTGGTCTGCCGTATATTCCGACGCATCAATGGCACAATGCTCGTCAGCGAGACGCCGTATCGGCGCCGGACCCAGCGCGGCGCGCGCGGAGTGTCCTGGGCCCTAATATATGCGCGAATATTCCTGGGCCGATCGCCGCGGGGAGCGTGCGATCTGCCCCAGATAGGTCGAGCAATGAATGCGATTTTCTGCGGAACATTTGGCTGTGTATCGTGTTATCGCGAGGTGAGATGACTGGGAAATTCCAAGCCATGGGTGACTATCTGGCTTAACGTGAATGCAAACTGATGGTAACTCTGGAATCTGGATGGTAGATAATTGTCACGCTGCTGAAGCAAATCTATGCCAAATGCATAAACTATTATATAAATTTCATATATCGCTATGTGAGGGCTTTTTCTTACAAAACTATACGATTTGAACAGGCCCAGTTTATTTCTGGCTTACGGAGATTCACAATGCACATTTTATGACGCAAAAACGAAATGTACCTAATTCCGATCAATGACAGCTTCACATCTAACGTTATACGATCTACCGCTAGAAAGATGGATGCTATAGTCACCATCTTCATCCTGATGTAGGTGTTCAGATGCTAATCATAGTGCTATATGAATGTGACGCTGCTCGTCAAAACCGTTCTTGGTTTTATGACCGAAAGATGACGTCATTCCAACCTGGTCAACATTCAACAGCTTAATGGCTGCTGTGCAGTGAAATGACGGCATAAAACAGTCGTAAGTTGCGAAATGGTGCGAGTTCAGCGCTTTCTTTCCCTGCTAACTGTAACTGCTTCATCACCAATTGGCAGCTGCGAAACTTTCCGAAAGTCCAAGCGCCCGGCGCCCGCTCAAGTGGAAAAAGATGGACGGAGGCTGACGTTAGGTTTAGACACCAAGGTGGGGTTAACTAGCAGCGGCGGGTCTGCTCAGCCGTGCACCGCGTCGTGCCGGTTCCTCGGCCGCACCATTGTGGTCCATATTGGTCACTGTGCGCCGGCGGCGACCACTTCCCGTCCGTCCGGACGCGGCTAACGCCGGCAGGAAATGGAGCCGGCCGGCCGGGTGCCGGCGGTCACGCCGACGACGACGCGATGGTGCCGACGGTACCAGCTCGACGGTGCCGACGGGAGGGTAGAGGGGGAGCGTGGTGTGGACGGCGGGGGGGGGGGGCGTGGCGGCGCCGACTCGTGTTTACCCTTCCCGATGTCTGATGGATGACGAACGGTCGCCATTGACGAACGGATGCCGGAAGGAGGGACATGAAAGGCCCTGTGAGAGATGGCGAGAGGAAGGAAGCGGAACTTGCCGAATGCGAGAGGAAGTATGCCAGTGTGTGCGGACTCTGGCGCGCGATCTATGGGGTGTTTTTGATGTGGTGCGATATTGCCACGGCGCTGGCGTTAGATGCAGGGCGGATGGCAGCGCCACTCTGCCTCAGCAGTGGCGATTTACGGACGTCATTAGCGTCATTATTAGTGTGACTAGTGTGACGAGGGCGATGGTTCACGGGTCATAAAGTGGGGACGGGACCGCGGCCGCTGCTGGTGCTCGACTGCCGATGTGGTGCCGGGCCGCTATGCTTAGATGGCTGGTGGTGGTGCGACTGGTGCTGGTGCTCCGGGAATGCTACCAATATTGCTGAGCTGCTGGTGAAAAAGATGCTAGTGCAGATGAGGACGGGCTGGGACGGGGACTGGGTCACGTCAGCTGCGGCGGGGCTCGCGACAAAAGCCGGTTGATGTCGGGCTGATGGAAGCCTGCGGTCTACGAAGCCCATGGTGAGCCGCTGATGGCTTTTGGGGTGTCATGGAGTGGGTCTGATGGCATTCCCTGGTGACGGAAGTGATATGTGTTCACTGCGCAGTGTGCCGTGGTCTTTCTTGAATGTGCTTCGTTACTCATGTACGAGTATGTACCATCTTTGGCTGAAAGACGCATAATACCTGTGTGACAATGTATGCCACGACAATTACATGTAATGTATGTAGTGACATAACACATACGTTAGGTCATT